GGGGGGTGTGCGGTTTGCTGCTGGGGGCTATGTTAAAACCTGGGACCAGCATCCCAGAGTCTCTTCTGCAAGCCGCCCTAGGGGGGCTGGACATGGTGACATGTCAATGCAGGCACGGTGGCTTTGCCTTCACCAGCCCTGATGGCTGTCCAGTTGCTTTTTGAAGCCCATGTAACAGTAGGGCTGCCCCTTAAGAACCTGGAAGCTGGCAGATTCTCCTGCCTCCCTCTTCCCCTGTGGGCAGGGGGAGGACTGACCCTAGATATTTGGGGTTTCCCCCCATTTCCCCATACGCTCTTCTTCCCGATGCTTCTGGGGGACAGGAGAGCTGTGCTGGTGAGTGTTCCCCCCCATCACTGTCCTTGTCCCGGTGCCCACCTGGTGCCACGGTGCCCAGCAGTCACGCTGCTCCCCTCCTCCCCAGCCCTGGGGCGGGGTGACGGGTACCACCAGTGCTGCAAGATGGTGGAGTTGGAGGAACAAGGTGACGGGACCCTCAGCCCTGACTTGCCCCGGCACTGCCTGGAGCTGGGGTGCTCCAGCAGCTCTGCTTGCGCCTGCCTGCGGGAGCACCGGCTCAGGTAGCAGGCAGGGATGGCTGTGGTGGGGTTTGGGGGCTCAGTCCCCCACATCCACTGGTCCCACAGCCCTCCTGCCCTGCAGGATGCTGCAGTCAGGGGGGCCAGTACTTCGCAGTGGGCTGGCTGGGCTGAAGGTGCTGCTCCTGAAAATCAGCAGGGCTGTCACCCACGATGTCCTCATCACCTTTTCCCCCTAAGAGATGAGATGGGCCCCTCTCCCTTGCTCAGTAGGGTCTGCATCTTCCAAGCATCCCTGACCCCTGCCCCAGGGCTTGGTGTGCCATGGTGTGCTCATCCTCTACCCTGTTCCATGGTTGCATCATGGGCCCACGTTAGCTTTAGCATCCCTTGGCAAGGAGTCACATGAAATGGTGCTTGGGAGGGAAAAGCCCTCCCCAAGGAGCTGTCCCAGCAGCAGACGGGTTGTCAGGGGGAGGGGGAGGAAGAGGAGGAAGGTGTGGGACCTTGTGCCTTCTGCCCACTCCCAGGCTATCCCACTCTCTGGATGTTCCAGGGAACCATGTCCCATGGGGTGATGGTGGATTGTGGCTCTGCTGGGAGCTGCTCCCAGTTCTGCCCTTTTGCTGTTGGGTGCTCGGTATAGTGTTCTCCCCTTCGGCCCTTGGGGCTGCTGCCAATGTTGCACCTGAGCACGGCTGAATTTGTGCCTGGACAAGGCTGGTGTGTCCTGAACAGAGAGCTGATGCTGCCAGCAAGCAATCCCCCACTGCTGTTCTCCACCTCAGGGCCCTAGGATGCCGAACATGACAGAGAAGGGGAAAGCAGGCAGAAACCAGCTCCCCAGGGAGATATTCTGGTCCCTGAGCAGCCAGACAGCATGTGTGGTGGTGAGAGTCCTCAACATCCAGCAGCTTGGCATGTTCAAGGTATGAGCTGGCATTGCCAGCATCCCTCCAGCCGCTACCACTTGCTACCTTCTGGCTCGGCTCAGGGAGAGTTGCCCCCATGCAGGAGGTCAACCAGACAGGGCAGGTCCTGGACAACACTCTGGTGGGCATCACGGTGGGAGAGACAAGAATCTCTGGGCTGCAGGACCCTGTGCAGCTCGCCTTCGCCCGTGGGCAGCTGGCCCACATAAGTCAGCCGGGCCCTGCCTCCATCTCTTCTCCGGTGCCCCTTCACCATGGAGTCTGTTGACACTACTCTCCCTGCTTGCAGGGTGTCACCCCACAATGCGTATTCTGGGATCCCAGCAAAGGTATGGTCCTTGTCAGGGCTGGACATGGGGCCGGGCGCAGGTACTGTGCCCAGTGCTCATGGCCATCACCCTGTGCCTGTTGCAGGGCAGGCAGGAGGCTGGAGCGGCAGAGGATGTGTCACACAGCCCAGGGACAAGGAGACAGTCTGCTCCTGCGACCATCTCACCTTCTTCACCCTTCTCCTGGTGACAGTCCCACTCCTCACAGCTCTTACTCGTACCCTGGGCTGCACTGCCTGCCCCACCTTGGTGGCTCCTTGGGTGTCATGAGTAGCACAGGGCTAGTTATAGCTACTCCCAGGCAAGCACAGGTCCCAAAATCAAGTCCTGCCTGGCTCAGGAGGGCAGCAGTAGCTCAGCAGAGTGGGTAGAGGGTCGAAAAGGACCCCAGTCTAGTGCAGGCTCTGGAGAAGCAAGGCTTGGGGTCCTGCCTTCTGGTAGAGGCTCCCAGGAGAGTGCTCATGGTGGTCCACCATAGCCTTCACTCATCCATCACCCCCACCCCAGGGAGCACCTTCTCAGAGCCTCCACTGCCCTGCTTCCCCTGGAGACCTTCTGAGTGGACAGACAGGGGGCTTGTGTGGGGTCCCTGCAGCAGCCCACTGGGGTTATCAGCCCTGTTGGCTCTTGTAGCTGCAGTTCGGTTTTCTAGGTTGATCCAAGGCCTGTGCAACTCAATGTGCACGTCTTTGGCAGAATCCAGCTCTGGACAGGCCCACGGCACAAGCCTTGATGGCTGTTCTGGCTGCAGGGTAGCCATGGCTTTCTCCATCTTCACCATCACCTTCTGCATCTAAGGTAGGATGTGCCAGCAGCTCCCTGGGGACTTGTCAGGCTGGGAGAGGTGTGTGTCAAATCTGATGCCTCTGCATGAGCTTGCTGCAATACAGCGTGGGGCCTCGCTCAGCTGTGACCCCTGCCTTTTCTAGTCCCCCTGGGGGACACTCAGGTACAGGTTCAGGTCCAAGGAGACCCTCCACATCAACTTGGGGCTGCACGCAAACCTCATTGGCAGCCTGCTCCTCCTCAACCTGGCCTTCCTGCTCAACAGCGGAGTCTCCAGTGGGATCCAGACAGGGACCTGCAAGGTCCTAGGAGGGGCTCACCCACTACTGCCTGCTCTGCTGCTTCACCTAGATGGTGCTGGAGGGCTGTCACCTCTACCTCCTCTTCGTCAAGGTCTTCGCAACGTACATCCACTACTACCTGGCGAAGCTGTGCCTGGTGAGAATCACCAGCCCGGTCAGGTTGAGGGGAGGATGGATGAGGCTCTGCAGCTCTTCCAAATGTCATGGTCAGGATTGGGAAGTGTCTTACACAGGCCCAGTGCATGAAATTCAGGGCAGCACCTGCAGGCACCTCCCATCCTGCTGGGGACCAGCCTCCTGCCATCGAGCAGGTGATGTCCTCAGGGGGGTCTTTGTTTCCCCATTGCCAGCCCTCCACGGCACCTTGGGGGCATCAGACCAGATGATCCTGCAGAGAGGTTAGGGGACACCTCAAGCCCTGCTGTCGAGTGTTGTCCTCCCGCCTCCACATCACATCCCAGCAGCAACTGTTATGCCCCCAGCACTTGTGCAACCTCAGTGTGTCCCTAAGCCCCATCTTCCCTGAGGTCAGCACACCCAGGGACATCCCGAGACCCCAAGCCAACCACCTCGCTGGCTGCTTGCCTTTCTGGCCTCCTCCACATGTCTCTCTTGTCCTTCCAGGCTTCCCTGCTCTTGTGGTGGGGGTGGCAGGAGCCATCGACAGCTACGGAGAATACAACATCCAGACCATGGACCACCAGGTCATAGCCCAGCTGTGCGTGTGCCACTACCCACAGGGCTTAGGTGGCCCTTTGGCAAAGGGAGCGGTAACCCGGCCCTGCTGGGAGCATGCCGGTGGGGGGTTGCGCCCAACCTGCTCAGCTTTATACTGTGCTTCTGCTTCCCTAATTGTGATTACCACACAGCAGCTACAGCCGTGGTAACCACCACCACCTCTTGAGCCTCCTCGCTCATGCCTGCAGGCCTCCAGGGCATGGAGGGACATCCAAGGTCCACCTGGACCTTCCCTAGGCTCCCTCTCAGCTGAGCAACACGGGGACAGTGGATCTGCAACACTGTCTCCCCTGCTTCACCCTGGCCTTTGAAAACCCCACCAGCACAAGGGTATTCCTACACCCCCAAACATGTCCCCATGGGGAGGCTCCCATGGGTGCTCCTGGGGCTAGCAGAGCTGCTGGAGGCACCACAGTTGTCTCTTTTCAGGTGCTGGATCACTTCCAAACATCTCCTGGTCCACTACATCACCAACTGTGGCTACTTCAGCCTCATCTTTCTCTTCAACATGGCTGTCTTCGGGGTGGTGATCCAGAAGAGCTGCTGCCTGCAGGGCATGAGGGCAGCGCAGAGAGACCGCAAGGCCTGGAAGGTGGCTCTGCTGGCAGTGGGGCTCTCCTGCTTGCTGGGAGCCACCTGGGCCCTGGCATTCCTCACCCATGGCACCTCCTCTGCGCCCATGCTCTACCTCTTCACCATCCTCAACTCTCTCCAAGGTCAGGGCCAGCTCCAAACTGGGCTCCCTGTGCTTAGTTGGGGAATATGGAGGAGGCAGGAGACAGCCTGGCAGTGGGCTGACCAGGGGTTCCAAGGCACCTGCATCTTCCCAGCACTGTCATGCCCTTCCCTTTGGCAGGGCACGTCAAGCAGTAGGTCCAGCCACCAGTGAGGAGCTGGTCATGGCTCCCAACCACATCCACTGCACTGGAGGGGGGGCAGTTCTTCCAAGGAAGTCATTCCTTAGCAGAGGAACACGGACATTATCCACCCAGGCCATGTCCCAGACAAATGGCTCACCTGAAGCATGGGGACACCCTCCTGCAGGAGCGAGCTGGGGGAACCCCCTGGAAGCAGCAGGGAAGTGCCAGCAGCATCCTGGCAGGATGCTTCCCACCGTCTCCTGCTGCTGCTGCTGCTGAGTGTCTGCCTTCCTTTCCCTGCAGGAATCATCATATTCATCTGGCTGGTCATCCTCTACTACCTGAAGACAAAGGAGACCACTGGCTGCCTCTCCCACATCATGACACAAAACGACAAAACTGCCACAGTGTCCCAGGACTAGCTGGGCTAGTTTATGAGAGCTGACTTTACCATGCCTCAGTTTACCCTTCAGTGGGCATGATCCACCTTAGCAGGGCTCTTTGCTTCAGCCTTTCTGTTCCTAGTGGCCTGCTTTGGGCAAGGAACTCCAGAGACATCCCTTCTGCTAAGGCTGCAGCTCCCCTGTGGTCTTGAAGTACCCTGATTTCATTCCCCCGAGGCTCTTGTGGGGGTGAGGAGGAAGCCCACGAACAGCCTGCTTTCAGCCAGGATGGAGCCATCCCCCTCTTCACTAGAGATGGCCTTTGGTGCTGGACTAGCCCAGCGGTTGGTTTTCCTGCTGTTGGATGTGGGAGGATTGCCTCGCCCCAGCCCAGACTCATGAGGTTCTGGTCTGGGAACGAGCCAAAAAAAGAGAAATCCCACAGGCTTCTTTGCAATTCATCCTCTCCAAATGGACTAGGGATGGGCTTTTCAGGCAGGGATCTGCTGGACATCCCTCCTGCAAAACACCCTCTGGGGTCAGCAACAACTTCTGTGAGGACACTGTGCTTCAGCCCCTCACAGGGAAAACACTTGGCTTCTCCTTGTCTGTGTTTTAGTGTTAAACCTCTGCCTGCTGTCTGAGCACTATGACTTCAGTCTTTGATGCTTACAGTACAGTTTGTTATCTGCTTTATATTAGGCATATATTGATGGGCAAGAAATCTTGCTGGTAATTTGTCATGAACAAAAGGAGAATTCTGTCATGAATGATGGAAGAAAGATGCATGGATAGGTGTATATACACACAGAGAGCAGTCCTTTCTGCTAGTGCTACATCTGTGTCACACAGAACCACGCAAAGTCCAGCTCTGGTGGGCAAGTATCTAGTGAGGGTACCTCCATCTCCCCATGCACCTAGGTGACTCTCTGGGGAGGAGGAAAGCAGGAGGAAGGAACCTCCCATCCCTGGACACATCTTTCGAGGCTGGAGAGCATGAGCCAGGAGGGGATGAGAAGGTTCTAGGGATCCTATGGGAAATAGGGACTCTCTGATGGGACTCATCCGTCAAAAGGCACCATTTGCACCCAACCATCACCTCCTTCCCAAAAAAAAACCCTGTAAAGGCACAGGCAAGAGCCTCTCTGCTACTGTCACATTTATTTGGAAACAGCCGTTTTCTACACCATTCGTCGCCTCACGCTGACGGCCGCAGCAGCCACAGTGAGCACACTGAGCACACATAGCAGGATGAGGGCCCCGGGGAGCCACGGGTTGGGTCCTGCCAAAGAGAACAGTTGTTTACATGAGGCTGGGGGCAGATTTGTGGGAGGTCATCTCCTGTGAAGGGTAAGAGCTGCTGGAGCTGGGGGTACTTCAGGGCCCTGAGGGCATTAACAGGACTCAGTCACCCCACTTGGCCTCACTTGGGGCCTCCACCCACACCCGCTGCCCAGGAGCTCCACTTAGCTCGGCATGCACGCCTGGTCTGAGCTATGCTGTACGGGGACTTGCCCCCAGCCCTGGTCCTGGACCGCTGCTTGGATCGGTGCTCAGAAGGAGCCTGCCTTGCTGGGTTGGTCTGGTGGTCCAGTGTGAAAATCCATTCTTCCTTGCCCAGGGTGCTGCACCGACAGCCTTCTGGCTTCTGGTCCCTTCCCACCCAGCTCCCCTGCTCAGCCCAACCTGGGCCTGGTATGGGGATGCTCATGCACAGCTAACCTCTCTGTGCTGGTTTGGCTTCTGGAGTACGCTGTGCATGGCCATGACGTCTGAAAGACTCCACGTATCTGTGCAGGGCAGTGATTTTAGCAGCCCTTTTTAATAATCTGGCATTGCCTAGACAGTTGCAAGGGTCTGTGAGCTGCTCCTGCCCTCCTCAGAGGGACACACGTACCCCCTAGATCCTGTTGGTCGGTCCTGGAATGGTGGGTCTCTGCTCCCAAGGAAGGAGCAGCCAGCAGATGGATAGGCCCATAGGAGACAATCTTATTGTAGTCATTTGCCAGCGTCCGCTTGCTCCTCCAGTGCCTGGGGCATTGCTGTCAAAAAAGACAAGGAAAGAGGGATGGGACCAGAAGGCAGGGACGAAGCCTGCTCCGGGGACAAGAGCTGGTGGTCTCCCCCTGGCAGAGGCATAGCTGAGGCTGCAGCGTAGGAGCAGTTACGACCCCAGAGCATGAGAGGAGCTGGTTCCTGAAGGACCTTAACCTGCTCCTCCCCAGGTCCTAGCACAAATCTCTCCTCCTGCAAATACCCAGCAGACAGAGGGAAGAGGGAAAGGAGCTCTCTGGTGGGTTCAAGCCCTCATAACTTTAGTTCAGGGCACTGGACTGAGCTCCTGCTGCTGGGAGGTGTTTATTGTGCTGAGGCACCCGAAACCAGAGCAGAGCCTCTTCTCCAAACATCAGGCCAAGGGAAGGGAGGTCCCCCTGTCCGCCCATGGTGTGATGCAGACCACCAGGAGAGCTCACCTTGGCACAGGGTTCTGGGCTGCTGGGGAGACAGAGACGGACACGACAGTGCAGGAACACCTCGGGGTAACCAATAAACTGAAACATCTGGAAGCTGAACTTGGCGGTAGTGGTCTCTCCAATGGCGTTCATGTATGTCACTGAATCGTCGTGGGGACACCTGGGACACGATGGCTGAGTCAGCAGGTGGCAAAAGAGGGGGAGCATCCCAGCCTGGGACACTAAAGCAGACAGGGACCAGGTACAGCCCCCAAGCTTTGCTGAACAGGACTATTTCTGTCTTGGTGCTAGTGGGGATGCCTTTCCTTGGCACCCTGTGTTGTGCCCAGCTCAGGGAGGAGCTGCCACCAGCACAGGAGCTGACTGTGTCATGCTGTGTGGGGCCACAGCTGCTCTGCAGGAGTGGAGTGAGCCTGGCTGTGGCTCTCACTTCCCAAATAACCACATTACTGGCTTCAGCTTGGCTGCAGCCATCTCTAACACAAGCTTTTCAGCAGAGAGCTCTCTGCACATCCCAGCAAGGTCTCCCGTCTCCCCTCCTTGCCTTTTGCTTCCCCAGCTGGCCAGGAGTGATGCTAGAGGGAAGGCAGCACTATTGGCAGCAGAGCAGGATCAGGAGAGCCGCCTCAGTTCAAAGCAGTTAGAGGGCTCATCTGTGGGGCTGTCCCACCTATTCAGTGATGGTGTCCACCATAGGTTCCACTTATGAGCAATGATGGTGTCATTGCTCATTTCTCCCTCACAGCAACCTGCCTTAGCAGCCTGCAATGGGACATGACTGTGCTCACGGTGCAAGGAGACCAGTTGCACTAGGGGCACTCCACTCACCCCTTCTCAATGAGCTTGTGCCGCACATCCTGGTAGGGATCTGCACTTGGCGTGGCCCAGCAGTCCCAGGAAGTACTTGAGCTGGTGCTGTCCTTCTGTCTCCAGCAGGACATAGAGCGTGTCCGTGACATGGATGGCTGCAGTCGGCAGGTGATAGGGCTGGAGGTAGGAGGGGGTCTTGTACAGTCTCATGCTGACATTGAAGTGTCCTTCTCTGACCACAAACTGCACCAGCCTGAGAGGAGAGGAGGAGAGCTCATGAGCAGAACGAGAAGTCAGGAAGAACATAGCGCAAGTCAAGCCACAGGCACAGGTGCATTGACTCTGGAGGTGCTTCTGCTCCTGGGTGGAGCCTCATGAGAGCCATGCCTCGAGCTGCCTCCTGGCTGGTGTGTCTGCACACAGTGCAGACAGGGGCAAGGAGCTCCAGAGCTTCCCACTGATCGGCTCACCAGTGAGGGCTATAGGAAAGGCAGCCCAGGGGGTCCTAACCCGTATCTCCAGAGGACCCTTATTTTTTGGTTATTTGGTTTCAAGCAGTGAGGACAGGAGAAAGGTGGATTGTGAGTGTTCCTCCTTGACTCTGTCCCAGGCCCAAACCCTGTGTTGAAAAACCGTGTTGAGACGAGAAAGGGAGGCAGTCTCATGCGGCATTGCTCTCAGAGCTCTCTAGTGACTCCCCAGGGCCTTTATAGATCACCTCACTGAAGGCACCTATTTTTCTGCAAGCTCAAAGATACCATGTCAGCAGCAAGGTAAAGAGGGACCACTCACTTGTCAACAGCAGTGAGAGCAAAGGGCAGTTTCACCACCTGCTCGTAGGCGTAGACGCAGAAGAAATGCACCTCCAGCTGAAAACTCCGGGAGATCATGCCCCCACGTGCTTCCCGCTCTGATTCAATGACGTTGGAGTATGACACGTGGGAGCTGTTTTGCTGGAATGACAGAGAAATCAAGTCTCAAGACCGTGAAAGAAAGTAAAGAGCACATGGAGACTTTCATGCTCAGCTGAGTAGGACAAGATGTGCTGCCAGCAGGGGTTTGGTAGAGGCAGAAGAGCTTTCTGACAGCCCCCCGGGAAGCCTTCCAAGGGGAACAAGAGCTTTACAGCATCCAGATATAAAAGGAAAAGCCTCCAGGGCTTCCCCTTGCTGTCCCCACTCAACAGGTCTGCTCCTCTCACATCTTTGGAGCTATGCAGAGAGACTCTGCCGGATCCTTACCTGAATTATTGATCCACAGGCAGTGTGGTTTTCACCTGTGAGAGTGGCTGCAAAAAACACCTCACCCTGTTCTTCCCTTTCTGAGACCTTGCATGCCTTGTTCTTCAGGTGGATGAGCTCCTGGGGGATTTTCAAGAGTTCAAATGCTTCCTTCCTCACCATCATCTTCATGTGCTCTTCCTCGCAGGACAACTTCAGTACCACATCTGGGGGAAAAAGCCATCTGCAATAGCAATAAGGAAGAAGCCTGAAGCAGCCCTAGCTCAGCTATGGGATGGCACAGTCTCAGTGATCTCAACAGACCCTCATCCCAGCCTTGTTGGAGGCTGCTGGTAGCGCTCTTCATAGACACTAGGCAAAAGACAAACCTTTGGGAACATGCAGAAGTGAATGGGGGTCTGTCATTTTCTACTGGTTGCCTAAGAGCTGCACAAAACCATGGCTGCCACTACTCTGAACACAGTCCTTAAGCTCAACACATTGAAGGCAGATGTCGTGGACCCTTTTGAGGGCT